TTCTAGGTTGCTTAAACAGTGGTTACTCAAATAAACGTTGGATTTAAGTTCGGAAATAACATCATAATGTATAAATTAAGTATTAATTTATTACTTTTCGCAGCAGTACTACAAATAACCCTTGCATTAAAGGAAGGCGAATGCGAGGTTTGTGTTAAAACAGTAGAGAAATTCGCAGCCACGTTATCTGATAATGTGAAAAATGATCCGAAAAAAATCGAGGCCGAGTTCAAAAAGTTCTGTAAAGGTTCAAAGAACAAAGAAAACAGGTTCTGTTACTACTTAGGAGGTTTGGAAGAATCGGCTACCGGCATCTTAGGAGAGTTGTCGAAACCTCTCAGTTGGTCTATGCCTGCAGACAAGATCTGTGAAAAGTTACGGAAAAAAGATGCTCAAATCTGTGACTTACGGTTTGATAAGCAAATTGATCTTAACAATGTGGATTTAAAGAAACTGAAGGTCCGTGACTTGAAGAAGATTCTCAATGATTGGGATGAAGTTTGCGACGGCTGTATAGAAAAGACAGATTTTATTAAAAGAATAGAAGAGTTAAAGCCTAAATACATGGGCAGATCTGATTTGTAATGTAGTAGTTCAATAGGTAAGATTTTTTCTGTACTTTTATTACATCGTTTTAAATATAACAAAGTGCAATCTGAATTACCCTTTAAAAATATAACATCAAATTGTGCAATAAAATTATTATTGAGCAATTCTGTAATATATAAAATTCTTTAATGGGAAAAGATAGTATGTTTAATTCTTTTAAATAAATTGGCTGTCCAAGGTCCTTGGGTTGCTCTGCAGTACCTTCCCCCGGCATACTGCTACCTCGTGTTTAACCAAGAACTATCTTCTGTGCAGCTATTATTATCTAAAAACTTATATTTGCCTATTGGCCGCGAAAGCAATTATATTATTTTAAAAAATTACAAGACTGGTATATAAAATAAAAGGGTATTCTAATATTATTTTATTTATTTTCAGCTGAAATTGTTCTCAAGACAAAATGTGATAGAAGCTCTAATATCCCTGAAGCCTTTGTCAGATGGTCCTGGTGATCAGGGATATTTGCATTTGAAGTGATTTGCATGTTCTTGTGAATGATGTGTGTATGCAATAGACTAAATTATTATTGTATTTAAGTAAATATTTTTCATAAATTGTTTTTCTTATTTACCTTAGTAATATCCTTCATCTTCAATCTTGGGTACGCACACAGATTAACTGTAGAATAACCCAAGATAACTTAAAAGTACCTGAGATTACAATTCTCTTATGAGTCTCATAGAAAGATGTACCACTTTTGAATGGAAAATTCCAAATGTGTAGGTAAATGTAGCTTTCTGCCATAGTTTGAATTTTAGAATACACTACTTGGTTCTAACTTGAGCTTATTATTGGTAAGTGTTCTTGCTCAATTTACACTCAAGGGTATATCCATCTCCCTTTAAATATTTTGATATCATATTATATGACCTGTAATATCTATTATTCACTGTAAAAAACAGTTTTTTAGAATTGTTAGTTAAGTGGTGATAAATAAAAGAAACAATGAGGTAAATAAGCACAATTTTTTTTTAAACTATTTTATTTTGTAAGAACAGAACAATGGATCTAAAGCAGACAAAAGTTTCTAACACCATGTATATAATTGAAAACATGATGTCTCACTCTATAACCATCTGGGTACAGTTTAGTGGTATTTGTAATTCCTGTGGTGCTCTGAAAAGTAACAAAATTTGATTATGTAAATTTTGTATGTAATAAAAATAAATGTTCTTTTGAAAGGGAATCTTTAAAGTCCAGGTTTATAAAAATGATAAGGGGATTTTACACTACAATAGCTAGTTTTACATCAGGATTGATTTTGCTCTCTTGTGCTCGTCTTGGTTCTACCAGGGTCTAGGATTCAATGGCTTTTTATATGTTAAATTAAAAATTATCTTGTTGGGACCATAACAATTGTAAATAGTTCAAAGTAATAGATGCCTAAATCTTTTTGAAATGCAAAATCAGACCCTCAACACAGCTTTAGTGGTAGGTGCATGCATAGCTATTGCATGTGCAAATTCACACAAACAGAAGGTCTTAATTCTTGTCCATACTTACTCATCTTTCCGTAGTTGATAACATAGAAGAAAGTCATTGATCCGACAAGCAGCTGGAAGAATGGGGCCATACCAACCCTCTTAGGCTGCACATATTTGTGTTGCCACCTCCACCAGGCTGTTGAAATGAATTAAATTATAGTGGCAAGTTAATGCTTCGTACGCCTTTTATGACTAGCAATGTTTTCTAATTACACCCGATAACCTTAAAAAATTAGAATTAAAATATTACCTCTGCTGCAAGCGCCCATTAAAGCGGATGGTGTCTTGTTTCTGCGTCCAAACCATGCTCCAATCTCATTCAGCTTAAGCTGACCGAAAGGAGTATCAGCTGAAAAACATCAAATTCTAAAATTACATAATCTAATCGTGTTGTACACAAGGCCAAAATCTCCTGCAATCACTTACGTTTTCCATAATAGCGAGCCGGATCGTATGGCCCGTGAACCGCTGGGTTATATTCTTTTGGATAGTCTCCGAAAGCCATGGTTATTCGGGAATAATCCGAAATTTACCAAGGAAAAGGTTACGGAATAATTTGATAGGTTGCAGTTGCACAGACTATATTAGACGTTCCGAATCATATTTTGATCAACGGATATTATTTAATTAAACTGTAATTTATTTTATTTCACAATTTAAAAATTAATTAAAATTTAGTCAAATAGCTTTAACGAATTAATCAAGCAATTTTAACTGGATCACAAAGAAAATAAATCAAGTCTTGACATTTATGTACTCTACAATATTTTTTTTGACACACGTATGACAAATGTGTCATAATCTGTGAAGGAGGAATTATACAGCACAATTTGTTTCTCACAAGAAATCTTAATCAATTATAAAAACAGTAAATAAACTTTAAGCAAAATGGTTTTGGAAAGTACTATGATATGTGTGGACAACAGTGACTACATGAGAAACGGTGATTTTCTTCCGACAAGATTGCAAGCTCAGCAAGATGCTGTAAATTTGGTATGTCATTCCAGGACTCGGTCAAACCCCGAAAACAATGTAGGTCTACTTACCCTTGCCAACGTTGAAGTACTTGCGACGCTTACTAGCGATGTCGGTCGCATTTTGTCTAAACTGCACCGTGTGCAGCCAAATGGGAACATCAATTTGTTGACTGGCATTAGAATTGCTCACTTAGCTTTGAAACATCGCCAAGGTAAAAACCATAAGATGCGTATAGTCGTCTTTGTTGGTTCCCCTATCAACACAGACGAAAAGGAACTAGTGAAACTCGCAAAAAGATTAAAGAAAGAAAAAGTAAATTGCGATGTCATTTCTTTTGGCGAAGACGCTGAAAATAATCCTTTGTTGGTATCTTTTATTAACACTCTTAATGGGAAAGACAATGCATCTGGAGGTAGTCACTTAGTATCAGTTCCAGCTGGAGGGTGTGTTGTTTTGTCGGAGGCTTTGATTTCAAGTCCTTTGATTGGAGGCGATGGCGCCGGTCCTTCAGGTTCAGGCTTGTCGCCATTTGAATTCGGTGTTGATCCTAACGAAGATCCTGAGCTTGCTCTAGCACTGCGTGTGTCTATGGAAGAACAAAGACAACGCCAGGAAGAGGAGACGCGAAGGCAACAAGCCAACACTGATACTGAAATGACTGAGGGTAACACAGGAGAAGCGCAAAACACAGGCATGGAAAGAGCTCTGGCCATGTCTCTTGGTAGGGAAGCCATGGAACTGTCTGAAGAAGAACAAATTGCATTAGCTATGGAGATGAGTATGCAACAAGAGGCTCCTCAAGCTGAAGAGAGTATGGATGTGCCGGAGGAATATGCTGAAGTAATGAATGATCCTGCTTTTCTACAAAGCGTACTTGAAAACTTACCAGGAGTTGATCCCCAGAGTGAGGCCATACGCAATGCTATGTCTACAATCAAGAAAGACAAAGAAGAAAAAGATGACAAGAAGCAGAAGGATAAAGATGGGAAAGGAGGATCAAGTTCAAAAGAGTAAAAGTATTTTTCAATTTTTTTATTATTATGCTCGTAACTTCATTATAAAAATTGCAAAATACACTTGAAAGCGTCACTTCAATTAAATAGATAAATACAAACAGAGATGTTTCATTTCCATGATATCCAATTGAGACCTTCAATGCATCTGTATTCTGTAACAAGTTAATTATTCATTAGAATAAAAACATAACGATCATAGACTATAATTACACTCCATAATTACACTATATAATTACACTCCATTTCATTTTATTATAACTTCATTCTATATATTACGCACTAGTAAATAGTTATAACATGGTTAATATTTTAATTCTTTTATTAACAAGACGTTTGCAAATTATTACAATGTTGTTTTAATTGTACCCAATTATTTTTTAAAAAAAGGTTCTTCTCATTGGTGAATTAAACAATTTACCATACCAAAGATTAAGTCAAATATGTGTAACATTATAAACTTTTTTGTTGCGAATTATAAATATTCTTAAGGGATAAGGGATTTTTTACAAAAAAAATATCGATTTTTGTAACAGAGGTTATTGGACATTGCATGTACAAATGAAAACTATTTCAATACTTACAGATATTTTATTATTTATATAAAACTATGAGACATTACATTTATCGTGGGAGACTCATAACACTGATACACAACAATATGGCCAATCTTCTTATTTGTATTTAAAAAAATAGATGTGTTAAAATATTAGTACAAAAACTATTACATTATGTTGTTTAACACATTGTTGACTGACAATTTTGTTGTAAAATGATATCATCTTGAAAAATTAATCTAACACAATATAAATTAGTAAAAGAATTTCAAAGACATACTCGACTCATTCCAGTATTTTTTACTTTTGTATTTCTCTCTTGCTTTAATTAATTGTTCTCTCCTTTTCATTTCATTTAATGGTTCTGGCTTTGATATTTTTTTTGAATCTGAAATAATTAAAAATAAACAATTTATATTATTCGCTTAAATCTTTTTGCTCAAGCTCGTCCATTTAAGCCAGTTTTTCCTAAAGTGGGCGATAACGCCCCCTAGTGGGCGCTGCAGGTCTCAAGTTGCGGGTTATAGTAAAAGTTTCATTTGGAATTCTCCGTTAATATACATATATAGGTCACAATAATAAATTTAATTTGAAATTATAGTGGTTTTTAAATATGTGAAAATATGGGGGCACTAAATAAATATTTGTCCTCAAAGTGGGCAGTAGACAAAATAAGTTTGGGAACCACTGATTTAAGCCTTGCTACGCCTAAAATTGTAGTCTATGCAACTTGTGCGATCTTCCGTGCCGCCAACATATTTAAATTCCTCTCCAAATCTATACTTTTAGACATTATTAGTTTGAATCATTTGGCGCGAATGGCTTTCATTACAAAATCCAGTGTCAGAATGAATAGTTAGGGGACATAAACGTCGACCTTTTAGTAAGGCTAATGTTGCGCCAGTACACCGGCAGTGTCGGATTTTCTTCCTAACAATAAAAAAAATGTCGATGTCTTAATTTCGCTCATAAATAATTTATGATTAAGATAAATAATTACCATTGCTTATAACATTATCAATATTTCTATTAATGACATTCTTTTTATTCAAAAGTAAATATGAACTCTTGATATCCTCTAATTGTGGTTTGTACCTTTTACTAGCGGAACTTGAATCTAAAAATAATCAACATTTTAGTTAAGGAATTACAGTTTTTAATAGCTACTGATTCTTTTATCGTGAACATCGGTAGCGCAGTGGGTAGTAAACGTCTGGGATTGATTCCCGCCATGTAAAAATGTTTTTTTTAAATGTCATATGTACATTTAAAAACAACATCTGACATTTCTAAGGCGAAGGAAAACATTGTGGTACATCCTGCAACATAACAAAGAAGAAATTCAGAGGGATTTTATAATTTAAATTACGAATTACAAACGAACAATTAGTTGTTAAAGCTGATATATCAGGGGCTTCCCTGCAAAATGTATTTTTAAGTGTTTCAATCTGATTTCTTCTCCTCGTTTGCTTTTCTTGTATATTCTGTTCGTTAACAGGAGTAAATACTGTAATTGAAATAAAAAATAGGTTACGATAATTCACACTAATCAAATTTTAATTATTATTTTATTTTAATTAAAATTTGATTTACCTTTTTTTATGCTCACGTTTTGCAAACTCTGGTTAAGATTAGTTTTTTCGCTAAGTTTACATGAAAATTTATTTTTCATTTTAAGATTTTCTGCAAATACATATTATTATAGTATTCAATAAAGATTTTCTTATTTTCATATTTATTTAAAATACTAGTTGTCGCCCGCGACTCCGTCCGGGTGGATATATAAAAAAAATTAATTAGTGTAGCCCACCCACCCATCCATTCACATCACATCCATCTAAACATTCGCATTAATAATATTAGTAAGTTAAATAAAAAGCAACTCTGCAAGGCATAAATTCGAAAAAAAAATTAATAAATAGTATCCTATATCCGTCTCCTGGCTCTAAGCTACCTCCTCACCAATTTTCAGCCATATCGGTAAAGCCGTTCTTAAGTTATAAATAGTGTAACTAACACGACTTTCTTTTATATATATAGATTTACCTGAAGGAACTTTCTTGGCGGTGATGTTTGTTCTTTCTATTCTTGGACTACAATTAAATCGAGGACGAGATTCTATGCTTTGAACTGAAACAACCAAAAAAAATAAAGAGAACGAGAGAGAAAAGATTTTTACATTCCTCAGTGGTAACTGGCAACATTTACCTACCCATATTGGTTGGCCTTGGTAGTTTGGTTGGTAAGTTTGTAACTCCTGATGGCACAAAACGCCTCTGACTGTTGTTAGAAATTGTGGCTGCAATGTGAATTAGAGAAGAATTATGAAGAATGTTTAAAATTTTAATTGTCCTTATGCTTGCTTTATGCAATTTACTGTGTTTTTAACACACTCACGGTCGTACTACTGAGGGTTAGGCAGATATTATATTTTTTGGGATTGTTTTATTTTGGATCAATATGAAGATAGAATACAACTTACTACTTGCAACACGGTTGAGTAGATTAGACCTAGTTCTGGGTCTATCTGGAAGATTGGAGCTAAGAAACGTGGTACACGCGCCTCGAGCTGGAATATTACGGAAAAGAAACGAAAATTAAAAAAAAACTTCCTCTTCAATATAAATTAATTTTTTTTATTAAAATAAAGTTAGTTAATAAGGATACAAACCCTTTATAAAATTCACACTCCTGATTCGTTCGGGTGTGCGAATTGCCTCAACTTTATTTTTTATTTGTGGTCCTAAAAAAAATAATACACAATCGGAGCATTGAAAAATAATACGACATAATTGTATATAAATTTTCATTCTTGGGCTAAAAGTAAAATGTCGTTCCTTTATTTCTCATAGTCTGGAAAAAACTAAGATTTAATGTGTTTTATTATAGTATTGAAATTTCGTAAAATTACGGTAACGATAAACAAGTCCTGTAATATATAGATATGTTACTTTTATTTATAGCGCAAGTAGCTGGGAAAGTGGTCTGATTGTGTCCTCGTGATCCTGTACTTTTGCTCGACGACGCGCTCCTATCGCGAGCTGAAACACGATTATTTTTAATTTCAATTACAAATTAATAAAGAGCAGCAACCAGTTATCCCTAAAATAGCTAAGTGACCACTGAGAGGTCACACAAGACGTGCATTAAATAAACCAAATCCTACGACCCATCCATCGAAGCGTTACATCTCTCCAGAGAAGAAATATTTTCGTCTAATATACAGATACGTGTGTAACAAACTGTATGTTACTTATAGCGCCACGACTAGACTCGGCTGAGGCGGGCCGGTACGGTCTGCGATGTTCCACGCTCCTCGTCGACGACGCGCTATGATCGCGTATTGGTGTGCCGAATTTAGTTACTAAAAGTAAACAAAATTGATAAGATTAAGCTTACATACATACTAGCATAGTTACTATACTATAAAATACTTAAATATATGAACGACGTTATTGCCGTTCACAACTCCAAACTCAATTGTCATTTATACCTAAGAGTAATCTAAAGTAACCATTACTAGTAAATATGGGCTCTTAAACAGAATGGCACCAAAACTTACAATTTGATATCCGACTGAATCTGTCCGATGCTCGTGCGTCAGTCGTCCGATAAATAGGCGAAGGTTGCCCTTTACCATTTGTTCCTGCAATAAATGTATTTCAAAGTAATATTATTAAAACGTAAAAATTAAAATTAGCGATGTCAAATTTCACATTCATCCATTCGCACAATTTTCTTAAGATGTAAATAAAAATGTCTTACTTTGTGTACGTCCCGGGCCAGGGCAAGAGATTTGCTGACGTCCTTTGATTGAAGTTACGCTTATGCGTACTGAAATGAACATTCGAATTTTTGTAACTAAAATAAGCTATTTAAATTCGGCAGAGAAAGTGCTTAAGTCGCAACGTCGGTATGGCATCTTTTTATAATTGGATATTTTTTGGGTCGCCTATGGAGGGTAGTCAAAACTTAATAAAAGAAACAATGTTTAAAAATAACATACATTTTTATTAATCTTAAAATGAAACAAAACAACTTTTACAACAATAATTGTCAGTAAAAACTAAAATTATATAATAAGATGAAAGAAAATGATATTTTTGCTACTACGTTTCCTTATTCGTAAAACTAACAGGAAAAAATAATTTAAAATCAACTTTTATCAGACTTACAATATAAACTAAATATTATTTTGTTGTGTTCTACACAAGCTACATTACATTTGATTTATACAAAATATATAAAATTAGTTTGAAATTCAAAATGAGAAAATAACATCAATTCGTACCATGAATATAATGCAAAAATATTTGAAAACGAAATACAATTTTATATACTCTGCATATAACAATCACAACTTTATATACACAAGTAAAAGGCACATAAACAGTTAAATAGAAGCTAACTACTTTCCAATTTAGTTTCTACAATTTTACACTGATCGTTTGTTTGTTCGGTTACGTCATCTATTGAGTCAAGTTGTTTGTCGCTGTCGTTAGATGTCGTCGCCGGTGTGGCGGGAGTGGAGACGTCCGTCGCGGGCGGCGTGCTACCGGGTAGTGAGTAGTGTATGTGTTTACCGGCAGGTGGCGGGCTGCCGGTGCCGCGCTCGCGCCTGCGCGCTCGATGTGCCGCTTTCACTTCTAACTCGACACAGTGCTCCGCGAACATCAGTTGCAGCGGCGCGTACATGTACGGCAATAACTCTAAATCCTTCATCCTTATCTGTAAACATATTCAATTTTTTTTTATACGTATTACGTAAATATAAATGACATTACATTTTAATAGAATAAATAAAATCACAATTTTTCAATTAAATTAATCTTTAATATTTATCAAGTTAATATGAATTGTTATCAATTATATTAAATTTAAGTATATTTAGTAAAAAATCAATGTCTATCAGTCTTTTATTAGTAAAATAGATTGCAACACAGCTCACTAGCGCCCTATTGTCAACGTCAAAAAAGCAAAGAAAAAAACTTGACAGCTGCAAAACCTCATTATTGCAGCTGTCAAGTTTTTTTCTTTTATGGCGTTTTGTAAGTATGTGTAGGTTTTACATATCTTATGACTAGGTGTAGTTTTTAGTAGTGACATCACCAACCTGCATGTTATCAAATGCGACTCCCACGCTGGTGTTGTCATGAAGTATGTGTGCGCTGAGTCTTGGCAGACGCGCATAGCGCTGACTGAAGTGTGTCAGTACAGTGTACTTGGCGTTCATCTCGCGACCGATTTGTATCGCCTGAGATGTGGTCGAATGCATCTTGATGCGCGCCTCCTCCGCTAATTCGTCCTCCATTGTCGCTTCATGGATCAGCAGAGTCGAGTTTTGTCCTATACATACCGCACATAATGTCTAGTTAAATCTGGCATACAACTGGAATAATGTAAACACTAACTGGCACCAGTGTTACAAATATGCCCGTCCAGCGCTGCTTTCCTACTGTACTGGCATAATGTAAACAAGAAATGAAATTGTGGTAAGAAACAACTATGACGTTAATAGCTAATATGGTCAGTGTACAATTAATATATTAAAAACAACTGAGTCTCTGCTATTTCAACGAATTTAGGTTGCCACCTTATAGTATAAAAAACAACTTCTTGAAAAAAAAACACGTATCTGTGTCGTATTTCTACATTTAACCTTTCAAACGCTACTAACCGATAGTAACGAGTTCCTTGCAAGGTATGGTATCGCCGGAGTAGGTGATCTTGTGCTTCCCGTCCACGTCAATGGCAACCCCGAATGCGTTGGGGCAGTGCGACACAAGACAGGTGCGGATGTGCTGTACGCCGATACGAGATAGTGACGCTGGCGTCATCTCTGTACCTAAAGAGTTTGACTTCGCCTCTAGCTGTAAAAACAGGTTAACAATCAATTACTCTCCATATTTATATAGATGAAAAAAAAACTATTAATAAGAGATGGCTGAGATTTGTAGATAAAAAAATTTAACACAATTTTGAAAAAAAAAAATCTTAAGTACATTTGTAAATGTACAATTTACGTATACATACGTCCTTGTGCAATACTCACCAAGCTCTGATTGGTAATCAACGCGTAATCGTCGCGTATGCTCTCAAACTGCTGGTCGTAGAGGAGCAGCCAGGTGACGATCTGTCCTGGCGCGAGAAGCTGCACAGGCTCGTACGGCACTCGGCTCTGATCAGAAAACGCCTCGCGCCGCGCCTGCAGCACTCCTATAAGACCTATAGGCGACGCAAAGGTTAACTTTAAGAATAAAACCAGTAAAAATATTACGATATCTAATGGTAGGTATACATTTGCTTTACTTCAATACTCAAATATCTTTGACTGTAATGAAAATAGTTACATATTTTAATTATAAGAGCGATATGGCAAATGCATGTTACTTGAATGAATGAAAGAATGCTTACCACAGTATAATAAAGCTCCATTAAATTTGTTAAAAATAGGTTTAATTAACTAAATCGTCTTACCCATATGATGATCAGCGTGCAAATGTGAGATGTATATAGCTCTGAGTGTTCTTAGGAAGTTGTTAACTCGCTTGGGGCCGAAGAATCGTACAAGTTGCCCGAACGTGCCCTCCCCGCAGTCTAACAACATCGACCTGTTTTCACTGCAACAATACATATTACCTTTATGATATCTATTAACTTATAACATCTTTTATAAAAAAAAATACACAAAATAATTATTCTATTAAAAAGATTAGAAACTTATTAGTTATATTTTACAACTATCCAAAGTTTTATTAACTTCATACAAATATCATTTCCTATGACTATATGAATATATACCATGAATCTTTAAAAACTTATTAAAATCTCATCATTTTATGGTAAACTAGCAATTGCCTGCGACTTAGTCTGCGCTGAATTAATTATACCCTATGTTATCCAGACAACTGTCCCAGGGACAGTGTAGCTCCTCAACAGTGAAAGAATTTTACATAACAGTATTTCGGAGTTTATTCATTACACATCACAACAGACAGTCAAAACTTTCGTTTTTTATATTAGTATAGATGTTTTGTACTAAAGAAGCGATGGTCTCTGCCTACCCCTCTTAGTTATGGTGTGAGTTGTGTTGTTTCGACAGTAATTCACTATACTTACTCTATTTGTATAACAATAGCACTTGTATTCCTCGTCTTGCTGGGTATACAGGAACCCGTACCGAGGAATATCACTTTAGGGTATTCGGCTTTGAACATTTCTTTTTTAGATCCCATCTTGCTTACAATCTCCCGATACTGTTCTAGACTTTTAGAGAAACCTTCCACTTCCATTGTCTCCTTGATGTAGTCTTGGACGTGAAGCTTTGGTTCCGCTGATCTGAAAATAAGTTGATTATTATACAGGTTGTTTATTATATATGGTAGGCAACACATATGCAATTGCGCATGTCTATGGGCAACGGTCACTTCGCTATTTCAGCGATCTCAGGTGGCCGCTCGCTCTTTTGCCACCTTATGATATAAAAAAAATACAAAGTATAAAATGAGAGAATGTATGGAAATAAATGATATCATGGGTTTTGATTGTCGAACAACATAAAGATTTCTAACAATTTCGCGTGATTTTGTTCGCGCGGATTAAAAAAAATCTAGTAATTAATAACCTATACTTTAACCTATTTGTCAAAGGTATAAATTATATTTATACATAAGTACTTTCATTTAAAACAATTAGAATACAAAATAAATAATATTCAGACTATATACATACCTATCGAGACATTTTTTCGGCCTCAAATGAAACATTGTGAGAGTTCTGCCCGTCATGAAGTCATACTTTGTCTCCGGGCATTCTGTTATATTATCCTTAATTGTCTCTTCCATTCTTATTATATTTTGAAACTGGGCGAAAGCAATCTGAATCAAATTATAAGTGATAAATTATTACCTCTGTAACTATAATTTAAAAAAAAAATTGTTTTTATAAAAAACTTCATTTTTTTTAATTGATTTAAATAAAAAGATTTTTGTCACTTAATCTGTTATAAAACTTACTCTATTTTTAAGTTCCTCTAGACAGTTAGCTTTTCCCACAATCCCTTCAGTGGGAGGCTGAGACTTCCACATTGCTGGTATGCTGGCGTCGCGCAGCAATGGGAACACGTCTGCATCCAGCACATGCAGCCGGTGCTGAGTACGGTGCACCGCCTCAGACCCCAGGCACGTGTTATCCTCGTTTAGAACCAAATGGTGGGTTGTCGGACCAAACTTTGATATGAACATTCGGTAACTGAAATCGATTTAATCCTTTTAAATTTGTTATATTAAAAGTAACCCAGCAAGTTACCAAGTATTTGCTAAAACATAGACAGAAGAAGGGATATACAGAAAAAAGATATTTCTCCTGTCTAATGCCACGGCTTTCCTAATTACATTTGTAACAAAATACATTTTCTCACACAACTTACATTGGATGACGAAAGACATGTGGAGGTGTAAAATGAACAACAACGACAGGTATGTTCTCCACAGAATTATGTCCATTATTGTAATGCGAAGAGAAATCATCCACATTAAGGTACGATATATCTGGCACTTCTAGCACTGAAAAAAGATTAAATAAATTACGAGTAAAAATTTAACTCAATCTTGTAACCATAATGACTGAAGAAATGAGCAATTTTAGTCAAAAGTCAAATTAAATCACTACTAGCCGTCGTCTGCGCGGATTAAAAACCTCTTAATTAGTAGTATGTGTTCTTCAAGTTCTACATCTATGCCAAATTTCAGCAAGATAAATACAGCCGTTCTGAAGATACCTTCTAACAAACATCCATCCATACTTTTACATTTATTATATTAGCAAGATAGCAAAATAGTTGCACTCATGTGATACCTAAGATATTATCCAGTCTACATTCTTTTTTCGAAAAATTATGTCTTTTTACGTTTGACAATGTAGAAGGGAGCTCGGTTAAAATTTGGCTAGCTTTAATACTTACCAATAAATACAGGTCCTGGATCATCTGGTGTTTTAACATCTTTAGATTTAACATGAGTACCATCAGGCAATATGACATCATGTCCACTTTTAAGTTGCCCTAACAATGGTCCCGGTTTTACTCCTTTTTCTACACATTTTGCTAAATCTAATGTGCCGAGCCTTTTCTGAAAGTATTATTGTTATATTTTATAAATGAAATGTGTATCTAATAGTTTTTTGATTTTATTTCATTTTAAACTAGTTGTCGTCCGCGATTCCGTCCGCGCGGAATTACAGAATACAATTAGTAGCTTATGTGTTCTTCCAGACTATGTTCTATGTATGCCAAATTTCATCGAGATCCGTTCAGCCATTCTGGAGATACCTTTTAAACAAACATCCATCCATCCATCCAAACATTCGCATTGATAATATTAGTAAGATATAAGTACATTTTTTAATAAGAAACAATTAAAAAAAATCATATAAAACAATTGCAGTAAATTTCTTGATATGAACAAAATTGCACATTTTCTACCTTTAAAGTACAAATATAAGCCACTGTACATTGAGATTTCCCTTCAAGTTCATGTAATGCCCTTTCAGCCTTTTTCCTTACAGTTTCTGAAAAGGTTAATTCTGTTTAAAGAAAAACATGGACTGCCAGTCTTTAAACTAAAATGATATCAATTTTATTATTTCAAATTGAACAGATATAGAGAACTATTTTTTTATTTTTTAAGCGACCAGTATCATAATTTTTTTTTTCAATTTATACATTTACTGTACAGATGAATATAAAAAATAGCAAGAAGTATTTAAGGAGGAGTGCTTAATATGAATCATACCTTTTTCTGGTGATTTATTTTTTTGTTTAAAATTATTATTTTTCTTTTCCTCCATATTCCGTATATCAGGATTGTAGTAATCAGTTTCATCATGTATGAATTCCTCAAATGCTGCACTTGTTGTGTCACTACTTAGCTTAGGTTTCTTCGCCGGATTTAGATCTGGTTTTAGAATATTCTCCGGCCGTCTGAAATACACAATATGTGTCAAATTTTGATTTGAATAAACATCTAAAACATGTAAACAAAATCTTACTATTACATCTACAGATATTGATAATCTTACTTCTTACTAATAATATAATTGTGAATGTTCAAATGGATGTTTGTTTGAAGGTATCGGAATAGCTGCATGGATCTCACTAAAATTTGGCATAAATGTAGGATACAATCTGGAAGAAAACATAGGCTACTAATTATATTTTTAGCTCCTCGCAGACTGAGTCACGGGCGACAGCTAGTGTACCATAAAATAATGTCTTACTGATTTATTTAAATAATTTCTACTTACAATAAAACATATTTAACAGTCATAACATTATCAACAAAATCTTCAGACGGGCTGCATGGAGCTAATGTTACATTCATGTCTTTCATTATGACAAACCTCTTGGTGGCTTTATAAAGTTCATCCTAAAACAAAACATGCATTTATTTTACCATAGGCTCATATATTAATAATTCCACATATTTTTTAATATTATTACGTAAGAAACGTGATTATGATGCAATATAATAAGGCTCACTTTAACACATATCAAAAGCATAGTGGGACTGAGTGTATTAGAAGATATACAATTTTACATTTCCCTAATAATTTTAGCAAGGGAATAAATCCTTAGTTTTAATAACATATGTTTTATTTTCTCTAACGGAAAGATAAATAATTACTTATGGTACATTTATCAAATAAAAAAAGTCTAAAGAATAATATTAAATCTTACCAAACCTTCGGGACCATGTAAAGTAATATTAGGTACTCCAACATCTTGAAGAGTTAGTGAGAGACCTGGTAGTCCACCAATGTTCTTCCATGTCTTGTTTGTGATGAAAATATGGTCTAACCTTGTTAACTTCACTTTGTGCTCATGAGCTAACCGTTGTGTTGATTCACCACAGTTAAAAAGATATCTGTCAATATATTTTATTGTTATGCATAAAAAGAGAGGAAAAAATAGTAAAGAGCATTTCAACCATGAGCTGTCCATTGCACAGTGCATCAATATCCTTTAAGGCTGCATGACAACTAAAATTTTCTTCTATATATTTACTTGTATGATGTTCCACACCACCAAAATGTTTGATGAATTTAATTCATACTGTGTTTAATTGGAATGTATTACAACTACTATTTCTACTAACTAAAAGTAGTCAAATATACTTGTTAAAATAAAAACCAAAAAAAATATTTTTGTATGAGGACAAGTTTCATATTGACTATTGAGGAGATATTATGAATACACTACAGATATAAATATTACTAAGAAGTTTTATTGCATCAGACGTAGCCTATGTTGTCTCATGATTCATGTCGAATGGCACTCTTTTCAAACACAAAAAGATCATAACATGAAATATGTTGCAATAATATAGAAAGAACAATCATTACCGCTTTTGATCCGTAAAGAGATATAATGTATTGGGAACGCCTCGTGCACCAGAACCTACTACCTGTAGATATATTGTGCTGGGTACGTAGTTTTGTGCCTTTTTGGAAATCTGCTGCCGTTGACGCTGTGCGTCCATTATTCTTGACGTGTTTGGTTTAGGCATATCGGCTAAAAATTCCAACAGCCTTTGAGTCTTTTGCTTTTGATAATGACGAACTGTATAATTGTTAAATCTAACTACAGAATGCAACAACACTATTTTACCGTACATGTGTTTAGAGGTTATCAATCACAGCTTAAAGTTTACGAGCATTCGTTTTGCGTTTCGAAATTTATGTTGTTTTTTAATTCATTTTTTGTCATTATATACAAAAAAAATTACGAGAACATTACAATTTTTTAATTTTTCCTATATTTTCAACGCTTATTGACTGACAAAATGAGAATGACAAATGACAACTAAAACTGATAAACAAGCTGACATTGACATATTTCATTTTCAGTAAAAAGTCAAACTGTTATAGACTATAACATATAACATATCCCTTCCCGATTGTCATCCTGCCGTTATTGCAAGTTTTTGTTTCATGTTAATATTGAAATTTAAGCAGGTTGTAAATCTAAAAAGAATGCAATTTTCAGTAATCTTTTGTGAAATTTCTCTTTCCATCTTTCTGTGTTACCATAGTCTATTGTTATTGGCTGTACGATGGTACTTCTTTGTTGTATTTGTAAATGACAACACTAAAACTAGAAAAATGGCGTTCTGTACAGCTGTGGGTTGCGCAATTTAAAAGTAAATGTGCACGAAAATCTTAATGAAATTTAATATTTTATGTGTAATAAATACTCCTGACATATAAAATGCTATTTCAAATTTATTAAGTGTGATAATATAGTATAGTGTTGTGATATTGTTCATTAGCGCAAACCTGTCATGGACCGTGTATTTTTTGTGTTGTGATGTATTAAAAAGATAAATAATGAAACGAAAAATAATGTGGCTGTGTAAATAATGTAAAAATAATGGGTTTGCTATGGGTGATTTTGTTTTCGGCCTCAACAGGCCTACTTTTGATACAAGGGTTACCTGTGAGGCCAACGCCGCAAGTCTACCCTCACGGTAAGTTGCTAAAATAACATGTTTTTTAATTTATTTCCATTATTTTGCTTCTCTTTTATTTTAGTTTCCAATCTTATATTTGAAAATATTTATTTTATTTAACTACAATTTAGTATTTTACAAAAACCACTGACTGGATGATTTTTTTTTAATATTTTGGGGTAGATTTGAAAAAGGATTTTTCCGACCATGTTAATACGGGACATCAAAATTTATTCATAATATTTTTCATCAAAATTTACTCTTAATCCTATTACTCTATGAACATATAACATGTTAAAATGTAGTAAATAAAATTTCAATGGTATAATATTATGTTTTGGATAAATAACAGTTAAAATTCCCCAATTGGCATCACAAAGTAATATAAAGTTAAATACCCAATACTGTATTGACATTATACAACTATTTGCTGAAATTGCATTACTAGTTTGTTTTTGACTATACAAAACTAACATGTTACACATTGCAATCCAAAGCATATTCAACTCTTCATTTAAAATAGAATTGAATCTGCATAAGCAAGAAATGTCTGTAAATGAGAGTCTGTGTACATTACTATTGTACAACCTCCGTAACAGAAACTTTGATTAAAGAAAACCCTTTGTTAGGGAGAAAAATATTGCAGTCCCTAAGACTCTTATTCAGGTTCAACTGCATAATGCAAAATTAACAACAAAGACATAAAAAACATACTTAAAAATCATTATCTAAAATCCTAAGTATTATAAAATTATAATGTGTTTGTGCACTCTGTATATGACGGTATAAGCAAGCTCACTAATTTGCTGTAAACAAAAAAAAATAAACTTACCCACTGTTTCATAGCATAGTACCAAAGTGTCTGGACAAACCCGCAGTGGGTTATAGACAAATTTATTGTAAATTTGCATATTGTTCCTTGTTTATATAAATAAATTAAAAAAAATGCAAAACTTCATACATCTCCAATAAACATTTTTTTCTGATATAAGTATGTAACATTACTTATCCTTATTTTGTAATATCACTTTACTTTATTACATTTTTGTCACAAAATAAATATAAAAGACAAATACTATAATGGTTTGCATTTGGATTAAAGATCAAACTTTTTTTCCAGGTACAAATGAAGCAGCAGTGTTGGAAGGATGGAGGCCGCAGGGGCTGTATACATTGCCAGTGCTGGCGCTGGTGGTCACAGCTCTTGGACTACTCTTTGGATGCACCTGGTGTTACAGACATAAAGACTGCAAGGTAGGAGTGCTTTATTATAAAGATTATGAAGATGGCATGGTCATATATTCAACTTGGATAATCTGTCTGCAATATTCCCCAAATATTTACATATTTTCTTATTAGAATAACTTTTGGTAGTTATTATGTAAAGTATATACTGTTTACATGTAATTTATAATTTTGAGTATTGGATGATTTACTATAGCTAATTTAACCTAAACATAGTCATAATAAAGTGAATCAATATTTTGAGCATCAATAGTATATATATTTGCACACCAACCCAGATAAATGAGAAACCTCTATAAGCAAAAGTCATTGTCCGGTTTCAAGCGATGACATAAGCAAGATACTAAGAGGGAAACCTCTATAAGCAAGAAAAATATTGTGGTCCTTTAGATTATTGATTATCCTGGTTCAACTATATTTAGTAGTTATTTTAAGTTCAAATACAAATACAAATATCTGCGTTTATTCAATTGTTATTAAGTTATTTCTTGTTAAAATGGAATTAAATTAAATATATGGTTAGTATTTAGGTAAAATTTTAATTTTGTTACCTAAAAACTCTTTATAAATGTTTTCATATGTTTTAATGATAATAATTCTCAATATTTTGTTTTTGTTACATAAAGGAAAAAACTGGCAAAAAAAATTTAATTGCACAACTGCAGACTTTTATAAAAGTCTTTGAGAGATTTCTAGAACACACCTATTTAAATATTTTACACTGAAAACGACATACATACAGGCACGTTGAATAGAAAAAAGTTTGTGAAAATTTTATTAGTGAAAGTCATCATTTCATGAATGAACAAAAGAAACTCGTATTTTATTTTTAAAAGAAACTTCAGACAGTTTTTGTTGTGATACTATTTTTTGACTATTTTGATCTCCTTTCTCAATAAGAAGTAAAATTTATCAACATGTATGTCTTTCCAATTCTTTTACAAAGTTATTACAGTAATAATGGGGTATGTTAAACTCTATAGAGGGTATGTTTTTAATACACGAATATTAAGATGTGCAGAGCCAATGATATTATGGTGTCGATTTCTTCATATGAAAATGAACATGACAGACGGTCAGGACAGCCGATGGCAATGAACTTGTTAACACGTTTTTCTTTTTTCTTATGTAATTCGTCAATTGAGACTAGAAGGATAAAAAAACATTTAATTTGACGCAACATCACTGGCGTAAAGCACAAGATTTACTAATGTTTCGTCCTTTGTTGAACTTGCAACTTGACTTCGTTGTATTTTTAATTTGGTAAAAAAATGTTTTCGGCCTTTCTGTTAATTACCCTATACTTTATTTTAAAATATTATGCAGGGAACAAAAACTAATATTTTACTTGCCAAGTATTTCTTGCATTGAAACTTTTCCTTATTGCTTTTTTATCCTATACAACGTGGACATGGAATGAATAAAAATATTGTTATCGAAATCAGTTTTGGCGTGACAAAGTTGTTTAAATAATAATATAAAGTAAATAAAAACAATCACATATGCTATGGTAATGAATATTGATCGCCGGATAAGATTCTGGTCTCCTGATGACGTATTTTATTATTATATTTAATAGTATCTCGCTATGGAGATTTCCATTTGCTATTTCAGATTAAATTGCAACGTCCTTTATTTGCTCACCGGTTCAAGGTTAATTGCGAAATTGTAGATCAGTTTCTGTAAATGTGCTGACGACAGTGACAGGTAATTTTTTTGTGTCTGTTTATAATAAAATAGTGTAATAATACATAAGACTATGTAACACGATATTTTTTCCCGTGGGTATAATATATAGCACAATTTAAATATAGATTTTAATTAGCTTGTACAATCAAGGCAACTAGCGGTGTTCCTTCTTAAAAAGCTGCAGTCGATCGAACGTGAGAACTCGGTAATGAAATAAGGCTAAATGCTTTTTATTATTAATATTCCATCGTATGTGCTAGTCATTGCTAATTGGTTATCTGTAAGGAAAGGCGGAGTTTGTCTTGTTTTCAGGAACAATTTACCTGTAAGTAGAATACCGCGAATTTCAGCGACTGTACAAAGGTAGCTTCGTACTAGATACTTGGATAACCAACATTTTTCCTTTGAATCTTATATATAAAATTCTCGGGTCACAATTTTCGTTCCCATACTCCTCCGAAACTGCTTGGCCGATTCTCATGAAATTTTGCGAGAATATTGAGTAGGTCTGAGAATCGGCCAACATCTATTTTTAATACCGCGCGGACGGAGTCCCGGGCGACAGCTAGTAATACTATAAATGGCAAATGACGTACATATTAACCTTTAATTGTTTCATATTATAAAAATAGTATAATTCTTTGGAAAATTGTGTGATGTTTCGAAGAACATTCCTTTTAAGGTATGCGAATAATTTAAATTTTTTCTCGGTGTCTCAGCCTCGTTAAACGAGAAATATCTCGTTTCTGTTAAGCAAAACAAAAGAAAATGTTTAATATTAAATGGTCACATGCACAGTGTGTGAAAAATCTGTGTAAAAACGTAGTTTCTTTAAAAAAAAAAAGAAAGTGCAGTGATATCCATACATTAAAAAAAAGATCTTAAGTACACTGCGTTTCTTGTACATTAGATTATTAAAAGTATACATTGTACGCCCGATGGCAAGCGACGGTATCTTCGTAATTGTAAACAACGGAAGGAAGAAAAAAAAAACCACCAACTGTTGTATCGAGTTACCATAATGTGACAAGGTTCCTGTTTTAACTCATTCATTACTACGTTGCTGCTGTTTTGGTACGATGTACATTTAGACTAATTATAGAGATTTACAATAAGCAACGAGCTTATAAAATTGAATGTTTAAAACCTTGTTTGGAAACGAAGTGCCCTGTCTTTTATTCTTGTATATCTACATAATTTTTTATGACGTTAAATAAACTGTTTTTTTGTATATATTAAATGAACCCAATAGCTTCCATGTCGTGTTAGTGTTTGTAGTCTGGCGTCGAGCAAATTCCATTAAAAGCAGGCGTTGTTCAAAGTTTGCGAAGCTTCAAATTGCCCGGTATAGCTAGGGTTACCATTAACGGTAATGTTTCTTAGGATTTTACTGATTTATCTGTTGTGAAAAAAAATATTCATTTATGGTTATATCGATCTCAATATTAATAAATATTCAGTCAAAATTTTTAAGATTCTAATTTGTACAAATTTATTCTATATTCTTGTAGTCTCTGTTTCTTTATTTGTACTTCTCTATGGTTGTGTATTAGAGCATAATGATTAAGGTATACATGTAACTTTTTACTTTTAGTACAACGATCGTACTCATATCAAAAAGGCAAGTAGTATCCCGTCCGGGCGATCCTGTCTCTGTGTGCGTGCGTTTGTTCCGCACAGACGCACCAGTGTGCACGCAATCAGCGGACGGCGCGGGGTCAGCGAACTGCGACAGTATCGCGCCCCACGTGGATCTGTCATATCATTGCCCATTTATGTCACCCTGGTAATTCGGTCATGTATTACATTTGTTTTTGATTGGATGTTTTGTTTCTTAAAGTTGTAAGGTTGTAGGTTTTTAAATATTTATTGCATAAGTCTATTTGAGTTTTTAAAGTGTATAAGATTTCAATAGGGTAACATGATAATGTAGGATTGTCGGAAAACTCAAGATTTAGGTAAACGCTTTCTAAATCTGTAGACTTTATCATATCTGTTCATATTAATAATATAAACAAAAACTTTGGTAAAACAATAAAAATACGAAAAAAATATATTTTCGTGAGAGTATCTTTGGTCAAAATGTAGGTAATAGTAGGTAGCAAATTTTTTTTGAGATCTTGCAAGTTTGAAAGCAGTAAAATCTACCAACCCATTCAAGTGGTTTTATTTATTAAATTTAATTCGCTGTGTAAATAGAATCGGAACGCGGTGGGCGGTGACGTATATTATTTTCACGTGGCTTCACATCGGCAAATATATGCTATAGCTATCGTCTCGTCTGTCTGTGACAAATATATGACTATGCGCCTATTTATATCTTTCACTTTTACATTACCGTGAATATTTGGTATCTACATGTAAACGTGGAATGTGTTCATTCATATGTATGTACCTGCATTATTTTTTTATGTATATAACTCTTTTGTTTTTTTTTAATACTTTCATCACGTGTGCGGCGGTCAGACATATTTTACGATATGACCATAATTAAATATTTAGTTTAATAACTATTTATCGCCTCTCTGCCCTTATCCCACTCACGTAGGGTTGGTGCTCCAGGTTTTAGTGTTCAGTTTCGATCTATCATCCGTCATCTCAGTCGGCACTCCTTTCTTAATCATGTTACCTTTTATGCAATCCATCCATCTCTTCTTACTCTGATGTACTTCTCCACATTCGTAACTAAAGTTCTTCTCATAACATGCCCATACCACGCTTAGCTTTCAAATTTACTTTAACAATTATTGACTAATACTTAGGGAACCCATTGTACATTTTTTCATGATAAAAAGTGCATTGTTATAAACACGTTCATGTAAAAAAAATTGTAAACAAATTACGTTTTTTTACAATTACAAAAGTAGTAAATAAGTACATTTTCTTATTTGTCATCAGCTCATACTGATTCACTGTTCCTCTTGAGCCTATTAGTGTGACTACCTCTAAGTCGTCTTAGTAGTGCCACAAATTTGCTTGATAATATACTCAGATATATAAGGAACACAAATCAGATAAGCCTTATCACTTGAGATCCGATGAATTGGGCAAAAGAGTTTTATCATTCGATATGACTCACAATCTCTATAAGCACTCGCTCGAGTATTAATTACCGACGATGCTAATAAAAGCGATAGTTCGTCTGTTTATAAAGTCATGAGTCAGCGACCACCTCGCGAGACGACCCAGACTTTGACGCAGCCTTGTAAACTAAACAAGGTTCTTTCTTACGTCAGTTATGACATACTGGATAATATTTTTTTGAGGTTTTGTTTTCCTGGAACTGAATATCATCATTGGAATATACAATTTGATGTAAG